ATGTTAAATAGATTCTGAAAAATGATTATACAATTCTTGGATAAAAATTTGCACCTGTACGTATTTAAAACGACTTTCTAGGTTCAGCTAAAAGCAATAAACACAGTGACAGTAAAGCTGCTCAGTCTGACCGATCATTAATTGTACTGTTCTCGCTTTCTAAGTGATAAAGATACTAAAGATGAACAAGATTACTGCCCATAAAGACTTCCTTTTTGTTCTGCACTGTAGAAAAAAGCCGCTAGTGTAGTCTGATTTGACCAGGACCGAACACTCTGTCGTTGACATTTAGCAGCATTCAGTGTTACAGGCTAGGCTTTCCTGAGCTACAAATTGAACTACAGTTCATCCAATAAGTTTATTTTACTGTAGTTGTTTTTTGTACACCTCTCTTCAACTCCAAATAATTATCTAAATTTTATTTCCTTCCTTAGATTACCGCTTTACATTCAGTTTGCTACTTTCTTTCGCAAAAAATTCATGCACTTTCTCATGCACCCGATAAAATTAGCGATCCGCTGAACAGTAATAGTTCACAACCTTTCACAGTAAGTGCGCGTAAGAAAATAATTTTTTTAAATAACTGCCTTGCAATAAATAGTTTAACTTGTCCTCACCCATTCAATCAAGGTTCTTTGTAATGATTTTCAAATAAAACTTGATGCAAACTTTGTATTTCTTTTAATTCCACAAACTATTACTCCAACTTGTTTCACCGCGTTTCTAAGCTGATAGAGCTGTTCATAAAGACTGATAATGCAAGTATAATTTATTTTTTGAAGCTACTAGAACAAATTTTCAACGAATTGTTAATCTCTAACCACATGTAGACAAAGTCGATTCAGTACACATTAGTGACAATAAAAACGTAATGCCTCAGCTAAGAATCGTAGTCTTGACTGCCTTTGCGGCTTCTTACCAAGTCATTTCTTTAATTACTATAAGACCTAAATTTTGTGCTCAAAAATTTTGGTTTACTGGGCCGCTGCCTGCACGTTTCTGTCTTTGTAAAAGCTTTAATAAACAGAAAAAAATTATCACTAAGCTAGTCCTTTTTCATTTACATTAGCTACATGAAATAAGCCGTTTTTTTGATACCACGCTTTACTCTACTGCCCTTCTTCACCGTGTTCTAATTAGGTTGTCGCCCTGCAACAGAACTGCTACTTTCCTCACTACCTGCAAACTTTGTTGAAGTTTACGTCCCTTTACCAAAGCTTATTAAAACCGTTAGAGAATGACGATATTTACGGTTTAACATGAACTCATGTTACTACTCTTTTATCAAAGCCCTTCAAAAAGCAAAAAAATCAACGACTAAAATTGGTATCCAGTAACCTTCTAGTAACTGCACTTAACTCTCCAAATTGTTACATCTGGAACGATATGAAACTGTACCTGGTGGACTAAAAGTGTAGAAGTCTTCCAAAATAAAATCATCCATTTACGATTCTGCACCCCAATAAACCTCTCCACGTCGACATACTCCTCTAAACAGCTGCAGCTGCTAAATCTGTATTCCAACTTGCTAACTTCTACCTACGGCTAAAGATTTGTAAGTCTTGAATCCTACTGCAGGGCTTAATCAACCATGAATCTATACAGCTCTCCGAGTAAAACTAAACACTAGCAGTACTCAAGAAGCTCAGATAAAAATGCAAGTTTTTAATCGCTTGCCGGCTAGAAGTCGCCGCAAATGTTAAACTGAATAACTCCGGCAACAAGAAAGTTTACCATACAAGAACTGGGAAGATTTGAGATGCACCTTGTACGCTCTCATCAACGTGCATAAAAAGTGGCAAATACTCTTACAAAAAAACTTGATGCCGCTTCAGGTGACTTCCTGATCGTCTAAGAGCTACCACTTTTTTGACAAAGAAACGTCAAAATATTGTATTAGTTTAAAATTGCGAAAATTGCCCTCCAGCTTCCGAAAACTTCGCGAGACCACTTCAACATGAAGTATGAAGCAGTGATGTAATAAGAATTTGCTATTTTTTGACTTAAAAGGCTTGACTTTAATTATGAACATTCAATAAGAGCCAAAAACAATTCGTTATTTAGTTATTATTTAAAAACTTAACTCTAAATTGAAGAAAAATTGATTTTTTGATTCAAAAATAATTAAAAAACAGTAAAGTAACGTGTACGCAAATAATGCAGTAAAAAAAACGCCGCCGATTCGCCTCTACCCTTGGTTCAACCCTTTTCATTTACCTTTTATTGAGAGCCTGCATTATCCCACAAACTTTGTTTGTTTCCCTAAGCTATTTTCCAACCCCTCCCAGTTCCCCATATAACAATAACGTTGTGTTCGGTTGAAATGCACTGAAAAAGCATTTTTTAATAATTCAATAAAATTTGAATGTTTGAAGCAACTGCAACAAATATTAACTTTGATTGCCGACACAGTCGACCTGTAACGCTCACAGACTGATGCTCCAATTCTTCCAACTTGCCTTTAAAATTCATCCATATCTTTCACAGATTAATTGATTGAGCTGAAGAAACTACCAAGAAATAAAAGGTAAAAAAACAAGGATGGACACTAAACATATAATCCAAGCCCAAAAACTAAAAACAAATCTTTCCCAAACTAAAACAAATACCATTAGGACAACAACTAGATGTTCAGAGCCTGCGACACTGTAGATCATCTATACTACAAGAACGTTGACTCCTACGCCTCCTAAACTCGCCAAAAGCTTATTCTTGGTAAAGAAAAATTTGACCCACCAAGTGCTACGGTACCACCTACCTTAACGGTGAATGACAACTACCATTTTACAAAATTCAAATACTGTCAAACCCTTAGTTTAAAGAGCAACTCATAAGACTAAACTGATTGACTAGCTGCCAAACAGTCCGGTGTTGACAAGGTTTGAGACCTCCTATCGACCCTTAGAGATAAGTCTGCACACTCCAATCCGTAACCACTCCAAAATAAAACACCCGTTCCGCAACCCTGTTGCTCACTTTATTCTTGTTACCGGTGAGTGAAAAGAAATAGTATGATCATTTACGGAACTGCAAGCCGTCACGTTTGAATCGTTACTATCACATCATTTGAAAAAATGCTCCGATTTCAAAATGCCTAAAAAAGATTTAAAAAAAAAATTACTTGAGACCCTAACCTAGATTCTCACTACCGCCGAAGTATGTACGTTTACAACGCCAGTATCTAATTACACGCTTGTTATGAGATCAAGCAGCTTTCTTTAGTGTCTTTTGAACACTTTGAATACATGCGAATATTGCGATCAAACTTTGAGGTAAAAGAAACTCAGCTGAATGGAATTATTCAAACTGTAAGTCGTTCAAGTTGGCTATGTCCAATGTTCTGACGAGACTCGGGCAAAAAATAAAAAAAAACTGAAATTTCAAACTGTAGAAAGAAGACGATCATCAAAATTCCCGCTGCTAAAAATGTCCAATTTGAACGAGTACACGTTGTTGCCTCTGCGCATTATGCTTTAAAGTTTTCTTATTTCGCTTCCATGCTTTTTCTTCCATAATTTTTGAAAAAAATTTGCTTTCTGCAAATAACAAGGTGAAAAATCCACCCAAAAGTTCCCACAGAATCCGTTCAAAAAAAGTCACAATGCAAAATAAAACCCACACAACATCTGAGAGTTTATAGTTCTGCCTATCCTTCAACAATCACTGCCTAATTGGCTAGTTTTGAATTTTTAACCTATTACACTGCTCTAACATGTTTTGAAAAGAACAGGGATCGGAACCAAAGTCTCTCCACTCAATACAGAAAATCGTTGGGTGAACATGACCATGGAAACACAGTTCCACAAACAAATCTTTCATCACGCCCAACTAACATACCAAGGTAAAGGCCATTTGAAGACTATCTGGTCACTCACCCAACCGCACCAAAAATTGCAAAAAAAATTTCATTTTGGTTAACAGACAACTACATCATGCCTATCTCCTCAAACCTTTGCCGAAACCAGAATGTACTAACAGTTGCAGCAAACTGCGACATCAACCAAACACGAGAAACTACTTTTACTGTAACCCACTATCACTTTTATCCATACAATCCCACACAAAACGTCACCTTTGCCGTGAGAAACCTCAAATCTTTAGCCTCATAAATGGCTTCCTGCAACATCATTCAGACAACGTTTACTGTCTCAAAGTCTCATATTTATTGGACCTCAATCTCTCTAAAATTCCAAGTGCTAAAACCTAGAAATCAAAAAACTATCCAAAACCAGTATTTACCGCAACAAGTAGTCCACTGGAGACTTTATCAAAGAAAGACAAGCCTGACACCCCGAGATATTCGAAGGTATAGAAAATACAAATATACCTCCCTGCATTCCTAAATAAAATCAACTTGACTGACCACTTTTACAACAAACATTGCAAAAAGTTTTCACAAACAATTAAGTTATCGAAACACTACCCCCTGAGAACTAAATAGCATGTCTAATCAGTTTCGCTTCAATACAACAAAAAATCTAAAAAAACTTAACATTGAAACATCAAAATTAGAAACTCCTGAAAATGAGGCAAATGTTGCATAGATGCAAGAATTTCCACAATTCAATAAGTAATTTCCCTAGACAGATCAAACACAACTTTCACTTAACCAATCGTCTAATAACAATGCGTAAATCTATGCAGTATTTTGATCTGTCGTCTTCATTATGAGAAACAGTAGAATAAGTGCAGCAAAAAAAGAACAAAATAACACATACAAAAGAACTTCTTTAGAATACACAATCACATAATCATACACCTTTGTCACAGAGCTGCCCGCTATGTTCAAATAATAACTATTTAAAAGCTACACAACAAAAACCAACAACTTCTGAAAACTTATAATATACCAAATTTTCCAATACTGACGACAATTTACATACATAAAAATTTATGCAGTAAAAGAAATAGATAAAACACATATTAATCTGTCTCGAATACTCCATAAAATTCTGCCACGTATACGATTTACTTAGAGTAATGATGTACTTGCAAAAAAATCATTCCATCTCTTCTTCCTTTGCAAGCAATTCTTTAGCTCGACGTAACGCCTCACCCTCATTATAATGCAACTTCCTTTTCTTCTCAAATTCACGTTTATGTGCTAGAATAAGTAAAGGTTCTTCTCCTTATCAAAACACTTCTACAACAAAAGCGGAATCAAATGAATTTCAGACAAACCAAATAGCGCTTACTCTAAAAAAAAAAAGAGGCCATCTAATACTAGCATGCAAATCAACCGACCTATCTGTTCCGGAGTTAAGACTTCTTCATCATCCAAATCAGAAGACTGAGCACGTGGCGAAAAACCTTTTTTTATAGAAGTCTCTAGACTTTCGCTTAACTGCACAGGATCAACTGCACCGACAAGTGACACCCGCCTCCGCGAATTCCGGCCGTCGCTTTCCTCCTCACTATCACTGTAACCAGTGTACGGAGTTTTAGGCTCATCGATCTTCATATGCCTTTAAATTACCCCAATTAGTCATACTTTAAAATCGTGAACAGTAATTGTTATAAATATAAACGCCAACTGGAATATACAGAAGGAAGGTCCAGAAAGCAATTTACGTAATTTAAAAAAAAAAAAAGCCACTCCACATTAGTTTCAAGTCAATATGAAAGGCAAAACTAAAATGATGAGCAAAAACACATGGAAGATAATACTTTAAGCCGTACTTTCTTCTGTCAAATAATGTCCCAATTCCATAACCTACTTACACAATGTAGCATCCAAACAAAATCAAGCTCACTTTAAGGCAAAAACTTGAAGTTTCCAGATCCCCGTCAAAAATTAAATACTACCCTATAAGCCACTAATATGACTGATAAAATCTTATGCTTCCCGCGCTACAACCAACCCGAACAACAATTTTTTTATGGAAAAAAAAAGGAGAAGGAAATAACCTAACCCGTAGTCTTTATTTGGAGGATGATATGTGGCAATGATATTCATTTCGTCAAAGCGAGCGCGTTCTTCCATCAGACGTTTCGATTCGTCAACGGACGGCTGCTTGGCCCAAAACAAAGTTGTAGAGAAAGGAATTTAGAAAGTTACTTCAATGATGAATGCTGATATTAGCCAAATAAATAATAAATAATAAAACAAATAATAAAGAAAAACAAACGAATCTCCAACGAAGCCTCGCTACCCATAAATGTTCTGATCGCTTAAGAAAGAAAATGAAAAGAACGATACAGAAAATTTGTTACCTTTAAAATCGATTTCTTTGGTTTCAGCTTCAAGCATTCGTTAGGGTCTCGATGGATTTTCGAAGGATCATTAGCTTCCATGACTATATCAAAGTACAATGATTGCAGTCTCACCTTAAATCAAAGAAATAAAGAGAAAAAAAAAACGTATGTCATTCCCTCGACGCAAATTATTATAAATGAATCATTAACGCTTTTCAAAACAGCGGCTGCGACCAGAAATGAGACTGAACAAACAGCTTACTTATTAAGTGGAATGAATGGAGCCTATTTCTCAAAGATGAAATTCGTTTAACAAACAAACAACTTGTAGCCATTAAAACCTATAAATTACATAAAGAACCAAAGGAGAAGTTAATTATAAAACAAGAAGAGTAGTAAAATAAGATGACTAACATAGTAGCGAAATAATGTTAGATGAGTTTGCAATAAGTGAATATTTATGCGAAAAAAATAGATTTGCATATTCTTCTGAGAGATGCCTTCAGAACAACCTACAACTCCACAACAATGACCAAACTCACTCTACAAAACCTGTGACGTTTTAAAAATGCTCCTTAAGCATATGAAACTTCTGGCCATCAGAAATATATTCTAGAAACAATAATGAAGAAGACTCACGGTCAATAAGAATGAAAAAAGAGAAAACAAAAATGAAGGATTGCTAATAGAACAGTGTGATTGAAAAGTTAGGTAAAACAACGTGTCAAACCATTCTAACCTTTTTTAACCAGGAAATTGTACAGAAAAGCACCGCTTTTATAAGTATTTCACTCTGATCACACAATGAGAAAACTTTATGACCAGAAAAGGATACGTAAAAACCATTGGAAGTCCAGTAACTTTAAACAGCACAAAAACCGTTCCAGCCCTAAAAAAACCAAAGAAATACTCACTTTATCTATCCCCCCTATCCCAAAAGATAAAAATAAGAAATAAATAAAATAAATCCACCAAGAGCAGGTTAAAACTTAAGAAAAATTATAAAACATGAAACATACGAACGACTATGTAGGTCCACTCATAATTTAGAACAGTGTCAACTGAAAAAAAATTTAAAACATGCACAGGCAGCTGAATTTCACACGTTTCCTACTCACTAGACAAAAACTTAGAATAAGATAATCAACCCTTTTCGTCTGTTTCTGCCCATTACATCTAAAAAACATGATACACTTCATATGGATTAGAGTAATACCTTTACTTTCCACACCTAACATTAAAAAGCAGATGTTAGTGATTTGACGAGGAAACCCACTAACCTCATTGCTTGTTTTTGCAAATTATCATTCAACTGAAAGCTAATGATGTTTTTATTTTAGCATCATACATTTCAAAAACAAAAATTAAGTGTCACAACCAAAGGTAAAAAGCTACGCATAAAGAGCTTTGAACCCCCATCCCAAAAGGAAAAAAAACACTGACAAAAGTTCTAAAGAAAAAAATATTTCACGAAGCAGACAAGCAGTTCGAATCGCTATCAAATAAACCGCTTCAATCACTTACCAAGTTCCAAAAAATAAAATAGAAATAAGATACTGTCCAATATTATCACACAAATTACTGCTTAACACCTTCTACTTAATTCACAGCCTTACTAACAATGCTTCAAAATATGCACTATTTTAAATAGCGCAAGTCGCTGCCTCAGATAGTTGGCAAAGATAGCCTATTTAGAATTAAAGAAAAAATTAATTTAAAACCTAAGAAAAG